AGATATCTAGAGGCTCCATTAGAATAGGAAATCAATACTCAACAACAATAATGATGAATATTTTCTATGTTAAAGAAACACCAAACCATATCAGATGAGGGGAGAGGGTAGGGTGGGGTGGATAAGAGTTTGGGTCTTGTTAGATAGAACTATACTCGGTTTAATTCTATTGTTGTAGTCTTCACCTAAGATCCCACAATCAATAATTCCGGTTCAGTTAAGATTCTGCTGTTAAAAAATAAACCAAACAAAGCAACAACAAATTTTAATACACAAGAGTCATCACTAAGATAAATTACCCCCCTCCCCCACGGAGTGTAATAAGGGACTAAAAACGCTGCTCTCCATATCATATTTTACTGAACAGTAAAAAAAAAAAAAAAAAAAAAAAAACCTTCAAAGGTCATCCACGCTCATGCATGCGATCACACCTCCAAAGGTGCTGTTATCTCTTTTTTTTTAATATTTGAAATCAATATGCGCTCCACTTTGTGAAAACCAGGAAACAAAATTATTGTAATCAATAATATTATTATTTATAGACCAAGACATACTGTTAGCAATCAGATAAAGCTGGCATCGACCCTCTGTTGTGTTCGCTATTCCTTACACATAAAGTTAGTTATGGCAAACGCCTAGAATCGTTCAATCATAATATCTTAAATTCAGTTTTAAAGTATATTTTTATCCATTTCTAATACTTAAATATTTCAGCATCTTGAAAGATGATCTTTATGATTTTGTATGTTTGATAATGTTATGTTACTTGGACAAGTTTACTTCTTATTTTACACATCTTTTTTTATTTTTAAACTAGATTATAACATAAAACTCTGAAAGAATTGAACAGTCCGTATCACACACAGAATTTTTTTTTCTCCCTGTCATTATCCGTAAGCCCGTCAGTTTATCACAATCTCTCTCTCTCTCTCTCTCTCTCTCTCTCTCTCTCTCTCTCTCTCTCTCTCTCTCTCTCTCTCTCTCTCTCTCTCTCTCTCTCTCTCTCTCTCTCTCTGTGTGTGTGTGTGTGTGTTACCTTGTACCGGACTGCCATTGCTGTCTACTGTCTACCTATTTGCTGCTGTAAGTATTACTCCCTAGCCTACAGACCTAGTACATTTAATATGACCCAGATTGTATTAAACATGCGTGCGAGTGGGTGGTTGGCTGGACGTGCTCTGGTGTGGTTTGCTTCTTCTTTCCCATCAAACATTTATCATCCTTATTTCCCCTTCTTTTTTTGTTTGTTACTGTCTTGTAACACCTCTAGATCTAATCTTCTGGCGCTCGTATGACCTTATGCAGTTGCGAGCGCCGTAAAAACTCTACTAATTTTTTTTTTAAACAGACGTGCGTTTCGCAGAGATAACGTAACCACGCGTAGTTTTCCCCAGTCCTGACCTGATGTGACCGTGACAGGTGTCTCGCCAGCCCTTGACCACGCACACCGCTTTGGGTTACACGCTACTATATAGATCTAGTAATAGTAATTAATATATATAGTTACAACTGTACTGCCTTTTCTTTATTTTCACTTTCAACACGTTGTACAGGCCAAGTGATCTGTAAGCTATGCATGTACCCACGTTTTTCTGAAACACTGACACAATAAGACCCCTACCGCACTTCGACAGTCCGTCCCGGGACAGACTCGTCTGGAGTTTGGAACCTTTGAAACGGAGTGTAAAAACATACATAATATCTGTGTAACACGATTGTTTTTTTTTGTTTTTGTGTGTGTGTGTGTTTTAGTTGCGTGTGTTCCCTCAGAAAGTGCGAACCACGAAACGGGTTCGTTACTGGCAGTGAGAAAGAGAGAGAAAGAGATCATTTATTATTGTTAGATCTAATCTAATTCAGTAGTTTCGCTTGCTGCAATCCCGCAGGCAGGCGCTTTCTACGAGGTTTTTCGTCTCGATTGTGCTGACACGTGAGTTTTGAGTTTCGTATATTATCATAATATACACAAGATAAGTTAAATATGTTTTGGCCTACTAGATCTATTATACAAAGCGTTTTGTGATGCTCTTGGCTTGGGGGGGGGGGATGTGGAGCACTGGTAGGCCCTACTTCTTTTCTTTCACTTTGTGTGGTTCTGTCTATCTTTCTTGCTTTAGTCTGTGCTAGATGATCGTTGTTGTGCCGATATGCCTCTCTTGCTCTTTACAAACGCTTTTTTCAAGAAGTTTATCAAACCCTCTTTTTGAAAAATAACGGTCCCAGAATCTAAATGCTGCCTTTTATGGACATAAGACGGATAATCAATCCCGCACCGCTCTAAATCCAAAGTTGGACCTGGACTATAAAGGTCACGCTTCTGTTAGGGTATTATTGGAGATTAGATTGAGTCCCTTGAGTAAAACACGCCATGTAGGCCTACTTGTAGGAGTTTGTCATCATCATTTACTATCTGTCACCGTATGGCAGTCCTTTCGGAGATGGACATTGAACTCGGAGGTCCGCCTCTTAGATGACATAAAAGTGTTGATAGAGGCGTAACCATTTTTTACCGTGTGAGATAGATCAAGGTAGCCTACTTGTGCATGCCTGATGCCTCCTAATGAGACCCAAAAAAACCTTACTTATAGCAAGATTCGACTTACCCAGTGCTGTATAGGCTATAATGTGATGGACAAGAAACGATATAAGAAGAAAATAAGATTTTCTGACTGAGGGCACTCTATGACATCAAAGTTTTTGGTGACATTTCACTCCTGCTATTTATGAACATGAAAAATTACTTTTTTGTGGTGCATGTTGGAGGGCGCCACTGGCTACTGCTGGGTCGCGAGCGCGAGAACGGAACTGAATAGCCACTCTTTCCTGCGAAACGCGATTCATGATTCATTTCAGCGGAACGCGGAACAGTATTTCCAAACGATTCCCGATTCACCCCCCTGTCGCTGTCACCACCATGTGGCATGTTTGTTTTGTTTGTTTGTTTAGTATAGGGTTTTACGGCGCTCGCAACTGCATAAGGTCATATGAGCGCGCGGGACACACCTAATACCTTTTCGTTGGTAGGAAATTTTGATTTTTTGCCCGGGTGGCGGCCGAAGCCTACTCTTATCGATTTTAGATCACCAAGGGATCTTTAACGTGCGCAACTTGCACACGGG